GGCTAGGCCTGAACAGAGTGAATGACAAATAAGCAGTTACTGAAATAATCACTTGATAATTACCAAGTACCTGAAAGTAAGTGGTTTGATAATTTCATCCCAGTTCACAGAGGGCAAATATAAAAAAATAACCATTATGATCAGATTTTTATTGATCTTACACATGCAGCTACTGCTGTGCTGTAACCTGCAGGTGTTCTGTGTACAATCCTCTGTCTTATGAATTTGGAGGCTAATTTGCATAAACATGCAGTCAAATTATAACCGTAGAAAGACTCCTGGACTTAATTACCACCATGTTACTCAAGGTTCATGACAGCATATCCCTGCTGATGTCAGGGCCACTCCAACTGTATAAAACCTGAAGGATATGGTGATGAATCAACTCTCATAAGTGCTATAGTTCCCTAAAAAATACACAATATGTTTAGGTCAGGCTTGTACATGCAAGGAAGTGAAAACTCTTTTAAAATAGCTTTTAGGCTCTCTGATATTATGAAGTATTCTAGGTGTCATCCCTCTCTGTTGTGGCCCCTTCTAAAGCAGAATTTCACTCTCCTGTTTCCACACACCAGTAAGAGGAGCATGAGTTGTCAGGACCCACTGATACCTCTTTTGATAGCTTGGGCTGCACCTGAGGCTGAGCAAACATAGGCTGGAGGGGCAATGCTTGCTGTCATCAATCTTATTGTCTTTATTATCAAGTCTGCAAGCAGCTTTCACTTTTCACTATCTCTGATTTTTAATTCCCACACCCAGTATCATATAGAAACCCAGCCAGGATTCAGACCTTATTATACCTAATATATCAAAAAACCCCTTGCCAGTCAAATTCCCATTAATTTATTTAATTGTGTTAATTTTATTACATCAGTGCAACCCAAGCAAAACAGATACACCGTGGTGGAATGACATGCATTTGTTCTAGTACAGCTTTATACTTATGTAGTATTCCTTTTCATGAATAGGGATTAAAATGTGGTTTATCTACAACATAATGATAATCATCTTTATGGAGAGCTTTTTAAGCTCAAACACTGACAAAGTGATTACTTAATAGCACAAGATGCTGATAATGCAGGAACTGGTTTGATGTGCACAGGGATGGTTCAAGTATTGACTAAATGGCAAGTCTTTGTATAGATTTACACAGCACCAGCTTGTTCTTAATAACCTCGTATGTGAACACCTTTTTTTGGGAACAACTGTAATTTTCTCTACAGTAGGAATTTTTACACAATAGGTATTTAAAAATTGCTACTCTTTCACATCCTCTTTATTACGACAGACTTTTAGCTGAGAAGTCATGAATGCCATAACATTTATACCATATTTTGAAATACATAACTTCCACAAAGCTATCAGCATACATAATTTTCAATATCATAATCATACTATGAGCATTTCCCTTGTACAATGCTACAAAAAAGGTTAATTTTAAGATAATAAGAAACCAAACACTATCTAGAGAGTGATACCTGATGTAAAAAGATACAATTATATTGCCCATTCCTTCTGCCTTAAATATGTGTTTACTTTAGCTCAGCTGAATTAAAGCAGGGGACAAATAATTGCTCTGGAACAACTGCACTAGACAAAGTCAAAATTTAAGGGTGTTCAAAATTATAGTTCATTCTTCCCTTTTCTTTCCCAGTAATATTTTTTACAAGACTGCTAATACTGATGCCATTAATTTTGTCATTCAAACTTTCTAGATCATGTGCCATAGAAATATTTAGGAAAGACAGCTGAGTTTTCTGGGTTCACATGAATAGCACTGGATGACAAAATATCTGACTATGGAATTCTTGACTTTTTCAGTTTATCAAAGTCCCACTGAATCTCTTCAGTATCTGACTATTACACACACCTCTTACATGTGCTCTTCAGCATTGCTGCTACATAATGCCTTCCATCACTCTTTCAGTTGCAGAGATGACATGGGATGCCTTGATGCTTTAGGTGGTCTCCTCTTATGTTCCTATTTGAGGACAGAACAAGGATGCAAGGAAAATAGTATTTCCTTCCTTTTCAGCATTATGCAAGAATAAGACTCACACTTGCACAAACCCATGGTGACTATGAGTTGCACCATGACCCGTACACCTGAACTTTTAAATGTACCATCCAAATCACATTTCAGCTCCCAAAATGAGGGTTAGTTGGAGCTCAGGGGAAACAGGCCCAATGCTGCTGGAAAAGCATGATGATTTTTAGGCATGGTTGGTTAGGTGATGACCTTGAAGCAGAAGGTCTGGAATGCAACAGCCAGAAAGATTACTCTTCTGTTAGGGATAACATTTATGGCTGGCAGTTGCATTTCCTTCTCCTGATTAGAAATGGTCCTCTCCAAGAATGGTTCCTGAGGGATTACAACATATCTCGGCATTTTGTAACCATCAGTGGAAGGTCTGTTTCCCACAATCAGTATGGAGAAAGTAGGCTGTGACAGGGGAAAGGTCAAGAGAAAGCAGTTGTTTCAAAACAATTACTTTCCAAAAGTGGGGAAATAATGTTTATTTATACAGTAGAAAGAGTGTGCTGTGGAAAAGGGCATAAGGAGATAGGTTTCTTCACTGCTTACCATCAAGAGATTTCTACATATTGTCAGGTTCAAGCACAGATGAGACATTTCATTTAATTCTGTCACTTTAAACATCCACTTCTGGACTACTGGTGCAAAGCACTCTTTATAGTCAATGGAAAGAAATAGTCCACTTAAAGAAATAAGTGAGAAAATTGTATTCCTGTCTTAGTATCAGATCAACCACCTTCATATCATGAAGGGATGAGCTTGTTTCTCCTGCTGAGAGCTGCATCCAGGCTCCTAGTTCATGTAGATGTCTAACTAAATGCAAATGAACCCAGGCCAGCTGTCTGTGTGTGGCATGCCTCATCCCCAGACATGCAATCCATACATTTTATTCATAATTTATAGAAGACTGCATAAGAACCATAAAGAGATAAGGAAGAAAGAAATTGTAATAGAGGAAGAAAGGAATAGGTCAGGCAAATACAGAAAGAGAACTTAACATGAAGAAACTGGCAATACTGGAAGCTGGATGGGAATGCAGAAGGAATTCAGGATAAATGGTCAGCCACAAGTAAATCCTACACAGGATTCCAATTGTTGACACACAGCATTCCTAGAGAGACAGAGAAAACTGGGCATATTGTAAAAGTGTTAGTTCTTTTGCATAAGTGTTACATTCCAATTAAGGGGTCTTTAATTGCTTCCCCAATTATTAGTCCCTCTCTATCCCAGTATTTCTAGCTGAAATTTGTCTTGACAACTTTGCCTTCAGAATCAGAAAGTTTCTCTGTTGTCTAGTTGCTTAATTTTTAAACATGTCTATCTATGTCTTCACACACTTCGGTAAAACTCCCCTTGGATGTATTTTCTTCTAGAAATCCCATCATTTCCTGGCAATGCATCAGTAATAGCTTCGGCCACTGAGATGCTGACCGGTATCATTTAATTGTCTGCTTGCATTCTGCTCTCTACCTGTGTCTAACTGCTGTCTTTGTTGTGTACTTAGGACATGTGCTCTTTGTTCTGTTTGCACAGCATCCTGCAAAATGGTGTTATAAATGCAAAGGCAGATTTGGGTTAAATAAAAACAATTTATTATAAAACAATTTTTATAAAAAAATAAACAATGAGGGAAAACCACAATAAAATAAACAGCGCAGCGCTGGGTGGACAGGGGTCTATACCCAAAGGTATAGGTGTTCCCAAATCCACGAAGGAGGGTAAACTGTCCGGGGTTTTTATAGGGATTTTTAGCCTTGAGGCCGAATTCCAGGCAGGCACCATTCATCAACAGTCCTTGATTGTCGTATGAATTGATTTCCTGGCATTGGAGAATAGAGTCGAATGGACGTCCGGACCGAGTCTCCTCATATGTAAAGAAATTCTGAGTGGCTCTTGTGGTTCAGGCCATCCGGATGGGATGGCTGGATCCGGGTTGGAGCCGATGAATATTTCGGTTGGATTTTTCCTTTTGTTTACTTGATGGCTTCCCCCAACGGTAGCCCGCAAGGCGAGGTGTTCGGGTCCGGTGATGAATATCTCGTCGGTGCCTCTCCGTTTTGGCTTGATGTTTCGTGTCCTGCCTATTCTTCCCCGTTGATGGTCACCGAGCCTGTCCTTGTCAGTTTGAGGAGTTTTTTTTTTTTTTTCTGTCAGCTTGATGGGCCGCGTCCTGTCTATTCTTTTGTTGATGGGTGCCGGCTAGGATCGTTATCCTTTGAGTGGGAATTCGTGGCTAGATCTGGGAAGGGCTTGTGTGTCATACTGTACTTTATATTTTATTTCGTTATTGTTATATACATTTATTTAGATTTTTACGAATTTTTACAAGTTCATTTCTCACAATGGCATCCTAGTCTGTGACTGGGATCTTGTGCACTCTGATAATTGAGGTGATAAACAGCCGTGTCCTTTCTGAGATTGCTATGATGCATGAGAAGGAACCACGCTGTACTTGCAAGCTTTTAAGTGCAAAAGTAGCGCCCTGCACGCGGGTACAAGGTAACACCACTCTTTCCTGGTTTTGTATTGGTACCCACGGTGTTCTCCCTTGGCCTCAGGCCAACGGGATGCTTTAGACCAAGACTTCTAAGCAGAAGTTCGTATTCAGTTTATTCCCGTTTGTTTCTTACTGTAAACCACGGCCTGGAACAATTTCTGCGGGAAGAAGCACAAGACAATCCAGGCGCTAGTGCGAGCAACCCCGGGAGACAACAGAGGGGCGGCTTGAAGGCAGGAGCCGCGCAGGCCGGCCGCAATCCCTCTCACTGCCGGTCTGCCCGTCCTGCCCAGCACCGCCTCCCAGCCGGGGCCGCCCCCCGGCGCCGGTACCGCCCCCGCTCCGCCCGCCGCCCCCAGCAGCCCCCGCGTTGCCCCGGCCCCGCCGCCGCCGCTCGCAGCGCCCGAGCCGCCGGCGGAGCGAAGGTGCCGCCGTGCGCGGCCCGCCGGGCGCCGCGGCCTGCGGGCGCCGCTGGTTGGCGGCGGGGGGACACGTGAGCGGGGAGGCGGCGGCAGCGGCGGCAGCGGCGTTAGCGGGAGTTTCCCCGACAGCTGGAGGTTGCGGCGGCGGCTCCTCCTCCCCGGGTCCCCGCTAGAGCCCAGAGACCCCCCGCGCTCCTCCTTATTGACAAACGCACAAAGGGCCGCGCCGGGGCCGGGCCGGGACGCGTCTGGAGCCGGCATGGGAGACAAGAAGAGCCCGACCAGGTAGGGGCAGCGGCGGCGCTTTCTCGTTCCCCCGGGCCCTCCGGGAGCGCGGGGCCGGCGGCGATGGCGGCGGGGGCGCCCCGGGGGCGGCGGGGGCGTCGCGGCCGGTGCTGCCCCTGGCGCGCGTGTGTCTCCGCAGGCCGAAGCGGCAGCCGAAACCCTCCTCGGACGAGGGGTACTGGGACTGCAGCGTCTGCACCTTCCGCAACAGCGCCGAGGCCTTCAAGTGCTTGATGTGCGACGTGAGGAAGGGCACCTCCACACGGTGGGTCGCCGGCGGAGCGGGAGCGGGGGCGGCGGGGGAGCGGCTGTGCGGCCGTGACAGGCATTGGGGCCGGGGGAGCCGCGGTGCATCCCCAGGGTGTGAGGGAGGGGCGGCCGTGACAGGAATCGGGTCTCGTTTATCAGGGGTGGGGGCGGGAGCACACAGCTTCCCCCGGCCCGGGGCTCCTCGGTGAACCTGACCCAGCGGTGCGCTGGCGTGTGTAGAAACAGAAATAATAAATACCAGGAAGGGCATAACTAACTGCACATCCTAACCCTGGAGAGATTGTGCCCCTCTCACGGAGAAGCTAGGGTGTGCCTGCTAAGACACTTACCCTTTCTATTTTTTCATTTTAAATTATTTTTTTCTATGAGTTTAACTTAGCCTCATACATATCCCCTTTGTGTGATTAGTATTAGTATTATTTTAATTCGCTTTTCATCACAGAACATCACCGGGCAGGTTTCCGAGGGCTATAGGGGGTGGATTATAACCCTTTAGTGTTTAGGGAGGAACTGTTAGCTGAATTGCACTTTGCACTTTATGGAATTGCCTCCCTGTGTAACTGTGACTTCCCAGGAGGACCTTTTCTCTGTACACCAGTCGCAAAGCTTGCTGTGGATTAACTGGTTCCTGTGCCTGCCAGTGGCCTAAACATGTGTGCTTGGGGAATGGAGGCTTTATACAAACGAACTTGAGTGCACTTGTAGCCGTGCATGCTAACGGAAGAGAATGTTGCTCAAGAATCCTTTCTTACCACCACCATACCTGTGGGTTAATCCCATCAACGAGAGAAGTTTAAATGGCAGTCAAATTGCAATCCTATCAAAAGCTGCAAGTAAATTATAGATATTGGTCAAAGCAGTGCTGAGTATGATTTGCAATAAATGTTACGTGTTTGAAATTTTACATGCAAGGTTGGGTCCAATTACTTGACAAAAATGATTATTCTTTGTTTCTGGAATTGGTTTCCCTGACTTCTGAAAAACAGAATGGATATTGGAAGGACTTTTCATAACTTCAGTTGTGAATATTTGTTGAATGTTTTGGTTCGTTTGTTTTTTTTTTTTTAACGAAGGAAATCAGTAAGGTAAATGTGACGAGAGGGAATTGTATCTGTCACATATATTATGATTTCCAGTTATAACAATGGCATTATGTTTGTGTCACAGAGAGGTGTGTGCAGATTGGTAATGTTCAGCAAAATGAGACTGCTGAATTAATGTAAAAGGTCTCCTTAACATCCAGTCAGTTTGATAAGAAAAGTCAATTTAAAATTATGTTTTACTGCATTGGAAACTCAGCTGGATAAAGGCTTTGAAAGTTAACAAACAAAAAATTGAACTTCTGAGAAACAAATATTTTCATTGTCTTCTAGTCTCCCTACTTGAATATTTCATATTTTAAATAACTTTGCAACAAAATGTCTTTTTTCTTTCTTCAGTTTCCACTTTCTCCCTGACAGTAACCTGGTATGCCAACTGTAGTTGATTGGTTGATTTTTGTTTCTCTACTTAAAACTCTGTAACAATGTATCCCTGAGTAGGTTTATGGGACTCTTTTTCCCCTAAGGTTTAGATGGATTGCATCTTCATATGATTTCAAAATCCAGGTTTTACACATGGCATGAGGTAGATAAAAGTTGAGGTTTTAGGCCAGGCAGCTTTTGTCTGCAGTTTTGATATATGATTTGAGCTAGCAAGTAGACCTTTGTGTCCATGAAGAGAATCATTAGGGTGCCAAAGAAACACAAAAGGCCAGCTGGGTGGTTGTTTTCTGTTTTTTTTTTCCCAAGGACCTGGAGTCCAAGTGGCCAAATTATTACGTTATTGAAGAATTTGTTGTTGTTTTCTATAGGACAGAATGGTTTTCATCAATGTGGGGCAGGATAACAATACTGCCATGTTTCAATGGCACTGAAAATGCGTTTTTTATTTATTTCAGTCTTCCATTTTGGAGCTTGATGTTAGATTAAGTTGATGCATCAGCATGGTTGTTGCTGTGCAGTAGTTCTTACTTAAAAGCTTTAACTGTTTTTTCTGGTTTTATGGTTTTTTTCTTTTTTTTTTACTGATTAGAGCTTTGTCTATAAGACATTGTATGTTTTTTTTAAATTCAGAGAAATCTCTTTCTTTGTGTTGAAATGTGTAATACCTGATTCTGCATGTTAAACTTCGCTAGACGTGACCAAATTTGCAGGTGGGAAAACAGGCAATTGTATTGAAGCTAAGTAGGTTTGAAGGCCTCTGGAAATCAGGTGCAAAGTTGATTAAAACTTTTTTTTTTAATTATGCACGTTTACCTTTACAGAAGTATTTTCAGGTACAGGTAGAGTTTGCTTTCACTGTTGAATAATTTCTTCTCTCTGAAAGAGTTCTCTTTTGTGCTAGAGGCTAGAAGTGGATTTTGTTCTTTAGTTACTGATAGAATTGTTAAGATTAGTGCAAATAAATTTTACAATTTCTTTATTGCATTTTATTTCTAGACTGAATTTTCAAAGCAGGTTAGATTATGGAGTTAAATCAACTTTTTGTCTATGGCAATATTGCATTGAGTGGTTAAACTGAGCTATCCTTGGAGGGTGATGTCCCGAGGGAAATCCTGGATGCTGCAGGAAACGTGTAACTGATTCCCAAGGTGGCACTCTTTGGTTTAGTACTAAAGCAGTGCCCCAGCATGGTGCCAGTTAGATGTGCCACAAGTCAGATGTGAAGCTAAGATCCTGTCTGCTAGATGGAAATCCCTCTACCTTTTACTCTACAGCTATTGTCAGATGTTAGCTTGGTAATGTCACTGACCCTGTACACATGACTTTAGTATTTACTTTCTAACCTAAATTATTTTTTTTTTGTTCCTTGGGTACTGAGAAATTCATATGTTCCTCTTCATAGGAGACTGCACTGTGTGTAGTAATTTTCTACATGTGACCTCTAAGACATCTTGAAATTTTTCAAGATGAAAGATGTATATAAATGTAAGGAACATAGATAGGACTGTAATAATTACTCCTTTCTTGAACAAATCCCCTGCTGAAGTTAATTAGAAGCACAAGTAAGGAGTACTGAATAAAACCCTAATGTACTCTGTTATAGAGGGAACTGGTAGCAACCTCTATATTTAGGTTGCCTAATAGTTTCCATTATAAAGAAATTGTATGACCTTTTTGAGAAGGTTTCTTGCTTGCAAAAGCCATTGTAGTTTGGCAAGCGGATAAGTTCTTGGGCTAAATTAGTGGTTTGATTTCCTTGCCCCATGAAATTGTTGAAGTTTTGCTAAAATCACTAAATCACTTGAAAATGTTCATTTCCCCTCTGTCATTCATGTTGTACAGAAAAGTCTTACTAGAACATTGAAAAAGCCCAGACTGGAACTGTGTAAAAGCAACAGAGGCAATGATGGTATGCTGAAAACATGGAAGAGAATTTTGTGGCTCCTGGAGAGGTTATAATGGGCTTGTTAAATTTGGTTTGATTCTCACAATTACTGCTTTGTCAAAAGAAAGTTGTCTCCATTGGCAATTTCTTTCTTTCCTTCTGTTCTTCATAGCACTATCTGAATCAGGAGCGTACCAATACTGGTTGACCTTCAAGAATTGGGCTGGGTCCTTGGACAGACCTTATTGGAGCGAGTAGTTGCTCCCAGTTTGTCTGTCCTTCAATAGATGTTTGGATTTTGCTTTCTGTGCCAGCTAACACCATTAGTCACTGTAATTTAGATGAGTTGTAAAGCTGAAGATTAAGAGTTTGTGTTGCTGGGAAGAAGTACACAAGAGGTTTGGCATTCCCTCTAAAGGAGTGTGTGTTTCCTACTCTCTGCTGCCTTCTAGGAGGCTTTGTTTGCTGCCCTGTTGTTACCTCTCTGCTTTAACTTCCTCAGGGTGTTATTAATGCTCTTCTTATTCAGCAGTAGCATCTAGATTTAAAATTACCTGTTGCTTTGCTTTCCTTCATGTGGATTTTATGCATGTGGTCTGATCTTTAGTTGCAGGATCCTATTCTTTTTTCCACATTGTTACAAACCACTTCTCCTTTCAGTGTGAATGATGAGCATCCAGGGCAGTGTAGTGAGAGCTACAGGCGGAGCTGCAAATACTGGCTTTGTAAACATTGAAGTGCTTGGAATGATATTCTACTGTGTAAACAAGTGAAGAAAGGATGCTGGGACATGCAATCAATTTCCCCTTTTCAGACTTGATAACATTCCATTTTATTCTTAAATTAGAAAAAAGGACCAAATTCCAAAGGATATTTTTACTAACAGTATTCTCTTAGCTAGTAATAAGGGAAGATTTGTTATACAAACTTATATTTTATGATTGTTATGGTTTTGTTTTATTTTATTTTTTAGAACTATTTTCATTACTTGCTTTGGATTCAATAAAAACTTAATGTTGCCAATGAATCTGACTCTTAGTGGATGCTGTTCATTTTTTTTTTTTTGTGTGGGTTTTTTTTTTGTTTTGTTTTTTTTTTTCATCTGGGGGAAAGGGAGAATAAAGAAAGGAGACAGGTACAAATTACTTCTGTGAAGTTTTGTGGGTTTTTTTTTTCTTAACTTGGATTTAGGATGGTTTTTTAAATGATTCCTGTTTGATACACATGTTGAGTGAGCTCTTACATGCACTATAATTTATAAAATAGCCCCTGAAATTTATAGCCAGAATAAGAAGGTAATGTTTAGTCAGGATGAATTTTTGTGGATTTGGGATCTATACTTCTTAATGTCCTTTACTGCTGAAGTAGAGATAATATATAACCAGCCAAATGAGGGCATGGCTTCTATGTTCTATGATCTATTGATCTTCATCACTGAATCATTCCTTTTGTCACAGGCTAAGGTATGAAAAGCCCAATTTAAATCCCACCAGATACCTAAGAGTGTGAGATACAAAGAACTGGGATAGAATCTTTGTACATTTCCTTGGTATTTGGTCTGTATTCCTTGACTCTGCCTGAGAGTTTGTCTGTGTAATGTATTTTGTAAGCATATCTGATCATCTC